CAGCTTAGGACCCCATTAGTATGCCAGTATATGCCTGATCTAAATCTGTTCTTGCGATAACTTGTAGCTAACGTGAGCTGTTTGGGCGTTATGTGTAGCTTGAATGCTAAATCCCGCTGCTATGTGCAAGATAGATAAAAAATTTAAAGATAAAAGCAGTTTGTTGCCATCAAGTAATACATTTATTTGTATAGCGCTTTTCATAGTTGGTTGCGTCAATAGCAGAGGAGAAAGGCCGTGAAATTTAAAACTACTACTACTATTGTGTCACGAAATTTAGTTTTAAGAGTTTTTCCGTCGAGAACTTTAAACATATAAGTTAAAAGACATTAATAACTCGTTATAACGTAGTTCAAACGTCTTCTATAATAAAGTGATTTTCTCTGATTTGTAACCAGGCACTAAAGCGATTACCCATAAAACCTGCTTTGAACCAATCGAATTGCTTGGGTCCTAAGCTGGGACCCATCTCTTCAGTGGGACTCATCTCCATAGATATCCATAATAAAGGCTAGATGTCTCGTCCGCGCTGCTGGCCAATGGAGGTCGACGTCCGCACTGGCGGCCATCTTGTCACAGGCAGCTCGCTCACGCTAACATTGTGTTTAAATGGTGCATGTATGGTTAAATAACCATAACGTACTCAATTTTCTACCGATTTTCAAACGGGTTGGTTTGTTATAAACGTCAGAGATGTAGTTATGACACTGCATACTTATGATTAATAAGTGTATCAATGAGAAACCAAACCGTTTGTAAATCCGTCAAGATTTCAACGAGATAAGAGTATTTGTGTTCGTGGCGATCACTCATCTTACATCAGGCACCACAGAGCCCGCCAGAAAGCTTGCCTGTGACAAGATGGCCGCCGGTGATGACGATAGAGACTCCGCCATAAATTCATGATTGGACAAACATTTTATGTTCCTACACCTTTCACAGATGATATTTATACATATAAATACATTTAGATCACTTAACTTAGTGATTGCTCTCAGGATGTGAAGAGACTTTCAACCAGCGTAACAAAAATTTTTCTGGAACAAATCCTGCCTTTAATATTTAGTGTTTGTTGGAAACACTTTGAGCGATAGTAATAGCGATGCTTGACCCACTAATAAGTATGAGAACAGTCAGACATACCCATTAAAATACATAAATTATTACAATCTTCGAAGAAGACATCAAAAACAATGAGTATTTACTGTACATAGGCTATAACAAATATATAAAACACTTTTCTAGTAGTTAGTCTTAAAATAAGACACCAAAACACAGAAAAATGTCCCTATTTATATTTTTTAAATTGTTGTAAAATTATGCATTAATTGTTAGGGTTAGGGTTAGGGTTAGGCTAACCCCATTTCTAGTACTTAATTTTTTCTTGTACTTTTGTTTTAAAAGAATTACAAAATGTACCTATTTATATTAAAATATATAAAATGTTAAACAATTAGGCATTTTTAGTACTTAATTTTAAAAGACATAAAAATATGTACCCATTTAAATATAAATATATAAATTATTATAACATTATTAATTTAGACATCAAAATAATATCTTTGTTCATATAAAATATTAAACATAATATATAAACATGTGCATTTATTCACATTAAATAATGTGTATTTTCTTGGACGTGGTTTGCAACACTTGATCCGTGTGATGCTCCTGATGTGCAGCTGTCACGTACAGTATGATGTTCACACAAATACATTTATGTATGAAACATGACACACGAAAAAGACAAAAAAGGCCAAAGACAAAATGTTTATTCACTGCGACTGCAGCTCTTCCTGAAACACTGGCAGTGTCAAATAAGGCAAAGGGCTTATAGATCATATGGATTTGTACAGTTTTGCACCACCAACAACAGTTATACATTCACCGGTTACTGTATGTGTGATATCATATAGATCTATATACATATTCTTAAAGAAGTGTGAGGGACGCAGGTGACAGAAGAAACACTCACGGTTATAAAGCTGATTCAGTATTTACTGTGAAACACACCATCACACGTCTTCATATGACATAAATCTATTCTCTGTGATCTAATAAAATAAAATAAAATAAAATAAAAATATATTATGCTCATCATATATAGCTCTTAAACTGTTTGCATTGGATAAATAAAATCTTTTCAGTTCCACAGTCATTTAATATGCTGTGTATGGAAATAAACTCACTTAGGTCACGTACAAGACATCAGCGTAGTGTTGGAAACACACACACACACACACACACACACACACACACACACACACACACACACACACACACACACGCATTCTTGTGTTAGTCTAATTAACATAATTTTTAGGATCTAGTACACACACGTCGAGCGATTGATTCACACACACCCGAGAGTCAGTGACTTCAGAGATGAATTTGCACAAAAGCATCGATCACATCTAAAGCCGTTTTACAAATACATAGAAAAATATAATCCTCTGAATGCCCTTTTTACAATTATAGATAAATTATAGATTTATCTGAAAATATCAGTGTAGTTAGTGGTGGAGGATTGAGTGTGTTCGCTAAAGGGAAGTGAGTGATCTTCTTAATATATATATATATATATATAGGGGAAAACTCTTGCTAAAATACCATGGTATATGATCATGTCAGATGATACTGTATCATTAGTATATTCATGTACTGTAGTATTTATATGGTAGGCTATAACTTCATGGTAGTGTTCAAAAGACGTGGTATTACCATATACGTACTATGGTATTTACAAAAAAAGTACCATGTACATGCATATGTAGTACTATGGTATTCTTTAAAGTACCATGTAAATACCATGGTACATGAGAAGCACTCCTACATTACACTTACCATGGTTATTTTATACATGTTCTTTGCCATTGCAATATTCTCGGAAATACCCTGAAATATTATAATATGAAGTTTACTACCATGGTATATTTCAAAATACCATAGTATTACTAGTATGTGATACCTTCACTGCATCATAGTGCACTACTTTTTTGTTGCAAAGAATACCTTGCTAACATAGTAATACCATGTTATTTTTGTAAGAGGTGAAATCTATAACACAAGAGGATCATTTCACTCTCTCAAATGTTGCCCTCTTCTACATTTATGATGTAAATATAGTCTTATGACCAATGAAGCATAACAGGCGTGACACAGAGCTACACGTTTCTGTCCTAAACTGAGATATTTGGTCAATTACTTGGTTTCTACTTGTGATGTCATGCTTGATAGCCCCGCCCACACTGGCATCTCATTAGTTTTAAAATCCCACTTCATACACTACCATTCAAAAGTTTGGGGTCAGGAAGATGTTTCATGTTTATGAACAGTCTCTTCTGCTCAGCAAGACTACATTTATTTGATGAAAAACACAGTAAAAACAGTGAAATATTATTTAAATTCAAAATACCTTTTTTTCTATTTGAATATATAGTAAAATGTAATTTATTCCTGTGATCAAAGCTGTATTTTCAGCATCATTACTCCAGTCTTCAGTGTCACATGATCCTCCATAAATCACTCTAATATGATGATTTGCAGCTCAAGAAACATTTATGATTATTATCAATGTTGAAAACAGTTATTTTAACTTCACATTTTTGTGAAAACAAATAATTAAAAAAAAAAAAAAAAAAAAAAAAAAAAAATATTTTTTCCCCCCAGGATTCTTTGATAAAAAAAAATAAAAAAATCTTACTGACCCCAAAATTTTAAACGTTCTGTGCATCTGTATATTAAACCGGTAACACTTTACATTAAGGTTCATTAGTTAACATAATGTATTAGCTAACATGAACTAACCATGAGCAATACATTTGTTGCAGTATTTATTAACCTTTGTTAATGTTAGGTAATAAAAACACAGCTGTTCATGTTAGTTCACAGTGCATTAACTAATGATAACAAACACAACTTTTGATTTTAATAACGTGTTAGTAAATGTTGAAACTAATATTAGTAAATGCTGTAGAAGTATTGTTCATTCTTAGTTCATGTTAACTAAGGTAGTTAACTAGTGAACTTTTGTGTACAGTGTTACCATTAAACCTTTGATAGTTCTGATTGGATTGAGTTTTTACAAAATGTATGCCGTCAGTTTGACCAACGCATTCTCATCCCAAGGCGTCATATACTGACGCTTACATCCGATGCACATGGCACCCTTTAGCCTCAATATAACACGCTTCGGTTATGGGTAGGTTTAGGTCTGGGGTAGTGTTAGGGTTAGACCACTAGGAGGCGCCATATATCTGTGTCTCATATTGACGCTAAAGGGTGCCATGTGCGTTGGGTATAGACGCTTTGGCAAAAGCGTCAGTATATGACGCCTTGGGATGAGAACGGGCTGGTTTGACGAGATGGTTCTCAATGCAGTACATGAAATCCACAGGGAGGAGTCGGATCCAGATCCAACTCCTCCCACCTTACATATACCTAAACCTACCCATCTCCGCCCCCTGATCCCTAATCCCTAAACACACCCCTAATCCCTAAACCCACCCCTAATCCTACCCATCTCCACCCCCTAATCCCTAACCCCACCCATAATCCCTAAACCCACCCCTAATCCTACCCATCTCCACCCCCTAATCCCTAACCCCACCCCTAATCCCTAAACCCACCCCTAATCCCTAACCCCACCCCTAATCCTACCCATCTCCACCCCCTAATCCCTAACCCCACCCCTAATCCCTAAACCTACCCCTAATCCCTAACCCCACCCCTAATCCTACCCATCTCCACCCCCTAATCCCTAACCCCACCCCTAATCCCTAAACCCACCCCTAATCCCTAACCCCACCCCTAATCCTACCCATCTCCACCCCTTGGATCTTGATCCGACTCCTCCCCGTGGATCTCATGTACTGCATTGAGGTGCTACTGGGTTTGACAGTTACTAGTCACAAATAAAGAGCATTTTGTGCAATCTCCATCTGAATCTCCAAGAGGATGAGACTGTGTAAATGTGGATTAGTCTAATTAGTGTCTGAACAGATCTTAGCGACGGACACGCGTGACCAAGCTTCAGTAGAGATCTTTGTAGGGTTTAGAGTAGTTAAACATCAAGTAGTCCATGTAGTAGAAGTCGTACGCTCGCTGGCGCTCCGAAGCGTTCAGCTGGGAAAAGTAAAGCTGCGTGATCTGAGTGGAAGTTCTGGCCGCTTTGGGGTTCCCGTCTTTAAACGAGGGGTACGTCAGGTTCTCCGGGGCCCCGATCTTCCGTAAAACGAAGTTGGCGTCTTCTTCCAAGGTCTCGACTTTCCCGATGAAGTCGTAGTGCAGGTGGCAGGGGCTGCAAAGCTGGTTGGTTGCTTCCCAATGGATGTCCATTCCCACGGGACGGTGCACGTCCAGCAAGTAGTGGATGAACTCCCGAAAGGTCACTCCGCTTCCCGTCTTCAAAGCCGATTGCGATGCATTCACTCTGTATTTGGAGATGATGGGCTTCCCGAATACGGGATGGTAGTAGGAATTTGGGCTCTCGAATTTGTCCCTGAACGCGGACACCAGGCGCTCCATGGGCTCGCGTACGAACAGAACTTTAGTGTACGTTTCTAAACGCTTGCTGATTCCTTGCCGGTCGAAGCTGTCCAGGCGTTTCAGGTGATTGTCGTAGTGAACGGACACGTGATTTATTTCGCGCGTGGAGTTTGCGACTCCGGCTAGCACCATCAGGAGCCTTTTCCAGTTGGAGCATCCGGCTTTCGGGACCTCGCAATACAGGAGTTTATGCCTGTCCTCCACGTAAATGCGTGACACGTGATGCGGCGTAATCGTCCGGGAGATATTACTCCGGTATTTCCCGCAGACCTCGCGTACGATCCGGCGACGGGACTCCTGGACGTCAGAGAGACGCCGCGAGATCTCCGAGTGCGATGACGAAGACGACGATGACGAAGACGTCGATGACGAGGAGTTTGTGTGCACTGGACTGGTCTTTAGCAGTTTCCGGTGGCGTTTGGTGACCTGTTGGGAGCCCGGGTCGTGTTCCCGGGACCCCGGTGTGGGGGCTTGGCGTTTCCACTGGGAGTCTGGGAGCTGCATGGGTGAGATGGGGTCGACGTCGCCCTCTTCTGAACGCTGGTGGAGTCGCACGATCTCACTGAACTGACCACACTGCTCCTTCAAACACACACAAGACACACCTATCAGTAAACTCACATTATAATGAGTCAGGACTGTATGCATTCTGTTATATTTCACTCCAAAAAGAAGAAAAATACCCCAAATTCCGATGATTCATAATTATTTTAATGTGAAGGAAATTATACACACACACAAAAACACACACTCTGTCTCTCTCTCTCTCTCTCTCTCTCACACACACACACACACACACACACACACACACACACACACACACACACACACACACACACACACACACACACACACACACACACACACACTCTGTCTGTCTCTCTCTCTCTCTCTCTCTCTCTCTCTCTCTCTCTCTCTCTCTCTCACACACACACACACACACACACTCTCTCTCTCTCTCTCTCTCTCTCTCTCTCTCTCTCTCACACACACACACACACACACACACACACACACACACACACACACACACTCTCTCTTACTCTCTCTCTCTCTCTCACACACACACACACACACTCTCTCTTACTGTCTCTCTCTCTCACACACACACACACACACACACACACACTCTCTCTCTCTCTCTCTCTCTCTCTCTCTCTCTCTCTCTCTCTCTCACACACACACACACACACACATTCTCTCTCTCTCTCTCTCTCTCTCTCTCTCTCTCTCTCTCTCTCTCTCTCTCTCTCTCTCTCTCTCTCTCTCTCTCTCTCTCTCTCTCTCTCTCTCTCTCTCTCTCTCTCTCTCTCTCTCTCTCTCACACACACACACACACACACACACACACACACACACACACCACTATTTTGTAAGCAATTGAAGGACCCCAATTAGAATTTCATAGTTTCATAGCCATTCATTCAATTCAATTCAATTCATTTAAAATTACCATATAGTTTAATGTGTCTGACTGATCCATCAATCTATCTTCAGTCTCAGAGTTCAGGATGAGTTTGTGATTCTCAGCCACCAGATGGCGCCATTAAAGCGTTTCTGATCCTCCGGGATGAGTGTGTCTCATTCCAGCTGATCTGGGCTCAGTCTGTGACTCATTCCCAATATCTCTAATCCTCTAATTGACGAGGATTTTTGCTTAATTCTCTACGTCACCTGATTTCCAAAAACACGTCGTCTGTGGCAAATATCAATTTAACTTCTCATTTGAATTCATTAATGTGCAATAAAATAAATGAATTGAATAATCATAAATCCAGTATTAACGAGGTGATGAGTTCATTATGAAGTCAGGGTTCGTTTGATTAGTGACGGCAGGTTACAGCCTCTTCCCCCGGGACCAGATGAGAGTGTGTTTAATACAATCAGAAGTGTTTCTGCGTTCTGAAGATCAGTTTATGGATTATGATCTCACCTGTCTGGACTGAGTGGTGCTCCTGAACTTCACACCTGGAAACACAGATACACAGACAGATTAGCTGTGCATGCAAAGACTAAAAAGAAAGAAAATATTTGATAAGCATAATGGATTCTGCACATAAAAAACATTCAACATTAAAAATGGTTCAACTTAAAATTCATCTCAAGACCATTCAGAACACTAAACTCATCTCAGTGTGTGTGTGTGTGTGTGTGTGTGTACAATCACATATAAAGGCCACACGCCTTCACATTACATTTAAACAATCTCAATTTTCAAATTTTCTGTAATTACAGAGTGAATGAGAAACATTCACTAATTACAGCTTTCCATTTGTAACCATGTGACCAAACATGTAATCGAAAAGCACACACACACACACACACACACACACACACACACACACACACACACACACACACACATGTTGGTGCAACAGCATTATGAGGACTCTCCATAGGCGTAATGGTTTTTATACCGTAAAAACTATATATTCTATCCCCCTACACTGCCCCTATCCCTAAACCTACCCATCACAGGAGACATGCAGCATTTTTTATTTTTTAATAAAACATTGTTTTTCATGTTTTTTAAGCTATTTGATTTATGAGGACTTTTGAAATGTCCTCATAAACCACCCATAAGTTGTAATACCAGTGTAATACACATGTCATTATACAAATTTGTGTCCTCATAAATCACATAAACCAACTCACACACACACACACACACACACACACACACACACACACACACGGCATACAATATATGGAGACAGATGCATATTATATATTATATATATATATATAAACATTACAATCTAAAGAGGTATTTTCACATCTTAAAGTGCCCTATGCACTTTTTAGTCTCCTACAATATGTTTACATGCATGTAAGGTCAAAACACACTTAAATGTTCTCATAATATTTCAGCATCAGCTCTTTTCTCTGTGTCTGAAACGGTTTGATCGAGGATTCAGTCTCTCTAAGCTCCGCCTCTCTGAGAGCTGCTCTGCTCTGATTGCTCAGATGTTCCAGTCTGTTCTGATTGGTCAGAAACCAAATTACCATTAGCATATCTAAATTTCAGCACTTGATACGAACGTCAAAGTGGATTTGCTTTGTCAGCAGAAAACAGCGTCTTCTCGACACGAACAACACGAGCCGAACTCTTCCAGTCTCAGATACACTACAGTGTTTGAGGGCGGGGCTAAGAGACGCTGTTCAGCCAATCAACACCACAGGCTGGCATTATGCAAATTAGTTACAAACCCACGGGTTCATTGGAAACACCACTGCAAACTCCAAACCAAGCTCCAGAAGTTGGTACGATGATCTCAGGAGTGTTTGTGAACGCATGCTGCACGATTGTAAGGTTGTTTGCGAGCGAACGCTCCAGCTGTACGACTGTAAACAAATGTTCCTGTCAGAAGTGAGCCACGGGTTAAATAAATTACACCGCGCAGACAAACTTAAACAGAGCTGTTAATTGGCAAGCAGTTGATTAAAATGCTCCAGAGCTCTTGACCTGTAGTGACTCCCTCACAGACACTTCTCCAAACCACTGAACACACACTGAACACACACACCTGACTGACAAGTGCGTCTCTTTAACACCCAGCATCTTGTCAGTTCACACACACGCTGGGAAGGATGATGCGCTTGATTTACACCTGAGATCTTCATATCTTCTGACTGAAGTGTTGGGATTTTAACCTCGATTCAGAGCATTACTGATGCATGTTATGTTAAAGCAGTGAAATCTCTGCCTAATAACAGCAAGTCATCCGCTTCTGACTTCAGGAGAAAACTAGACCGGCACATTTCTCGAAGGTGTTTGCATATGTGCAAAACTCAGTGTGTTGCTATGGATCTGCAAAGTATTTTTTAGCACGTTGCATGATGTTACTTACCAGTCCCTCCTTCAAGGCCGATTTGAAATGCATAAATCTGAATATGAAAAACTGATCATTTGCAATGAGACAGCAATTAAAGTGAGTTAGAGGTTTGCTCTAAACTCAGACACGATGCATGAGCAATATTAATAGTGATGCTTGGTTTAGCAAAGAGACAAAATGAATGAATGCATACATATTAGCAAAACATATTCAGACACATGCACATATGCACTATTTCTTCCATTTGCAGTATGTACACTATGCACATTTTCTGAAATATCTATGACCTACTGGCAAAATATGCAGAATAGAAGTAGCCTATTCTGTGTGAGATACTCTATCCCACAATGCAATGCACTCGATGTAACCTTCCAACTGCATTTCAATCCTTTGAATCAGTTCAACTTGACTTGAAAAAGCAAAATAAATGTTTTTATAGCCAAGATGATAACCTAGATATTGTTTACAATGCGGCATATTGAGCATACCTCTGTTTAAAATGCAATTTTATTATGCATACTGCAGTGTTATTTTAGTATTATTTATATACTATTATAATATTTTGTATTTTAATATTTCAGTTTTCATCTTAATTTTTTTTTGTTTTAGTATTTTTTTGTGCTGTTGTTTATATATTAAAATATTTTTATATATTTCGATTTAGCTTTAATTTATTTTTATTTAAGTT